ATTTTTAGAATAAAAAAGACTCTTTGATCTAACTTTATGTGGAATAAATATTGTAAAAAAGAGAGACCTCAGGTGGTTGAATGGAAGAATGGATCTTTAACTTGGAAGTATATGCAGGAAGCTAGGGATTTGATAGATCAACATATTTGGTAAGAACCTAAGTGTGGCCATTCAAGTATCTGGTATGATAATTGGTCACAATTAGGAGCACTACATTAATTGTTCCTATAGATTGTGCTAGAAATGTGCAATTAGATGAAGTGAAACAGTGTTTTTTTTGAATGGGGAATGGAATGTTGACTTGCTTCAAACTAGCTTTGGGGAACATATCAGTAGACAGGTAATACAACTCCTGAGGAGTTCAGAAGATAAAGAGCAGTGGGATAAACCATGGTGGATTCTGAATGCTTCTGGAAAATTCACTGTGGGTTTTGCTTGGGATTTTATAAGGGAGAAGCAGGAAGTCTGTTTAAAATATAAGTATATTTGGAGTGCAAAAATTCCTTTTAAGATATCTTTTTTCAATTGGAGATTATGGAAACAAAAACTTCCCATTGGTGAAGTTCTTGTCAGGAACATGATGAATGATGGCGTAGTGTGTGGTTGTTGTGATGATGGAGTTCAGGAGATTAGTGAACATTTATTTATTAGATGTTCATTATCTAATTCTTTATGGAGATACTTTGCAGGATCAACAGGGGTGGAGGGTCCTTTCTTGCAGTTGAAAGATACTGTGTATAAATGGTGGAATGTAGATGCTTCTGCAAAGCTTAAACCTGTGTTAATCGCTGTGCCATTGTTTATTTGTTAGCAAGTGTGGAAGAGAAGAAATGCCTTAAAATTTGGTGGCTCAATGTCTTATTTGAGTATGAGAGGAGGGATAACAAATAATTTAAGTCTACTAGCTAAGCAGTTGTATCCATGGATGCATAACCTGCCTAATAATTGGCCTGATTTGGTCAGATATTTGACAGGGTATACTCCTAAAATTGGTTGTAAGGTGGTCTATTGGAAATTACCTAGACAGGATTCTTTCAAATGCAATACAGATGGGTCTTCAAAAGGGAATTCAGGACCAAGTTTTTCAGCTTTCTGTATTAAAAATGATCATGGCAACCTGGTGTATGCTGAAGGAAATCTGATTGGAATTTCAAACAACCTAATTGCTGAAACTATAGCTATAAGACTAGGATTGGAATTTTGTAGGAAACACAATTTGTTCCCTCTGATTATAGAAACTGATTCATTAGCTGCATTGAAAATGATTGAAGGGGCTTGGCACATCCCTTGGGAGGTCTCTATGGAGGTTAGGAGGATACATGTTTTAAAGGAAGGATTGGAGGTGGCCATAGTACACACACTGAGAAAGGGAAACAAGCTGGCAGATTTTATGGCTAACATTGTGTTTTCTTTTGCAGGTACAGATTATATATGTTACAATGATTTTCAAGAGTTACCTAGTGAAGCTAAGACATTTCTAAATATTGATAAAAGCCAACTTCCTAATTTAAGGATAAGGAAGATTCAGAATGGCAATTTTGCACAAGATAGATGAGACAAATCATAACATAAGAGGAATCAGTTCATACAACACAAAATAAATGACATGTGAACAAAGCATCAGTACTGGGCACATAGATACAACAATATTGCTCAATGAGCACTTTTCTTTCTGCGGGCTTCCTATAGTTCATATTACAGGTCAAGGAAAGTACATAAAAAAGTTACAGGAACATTCATACACTGCTCTGCAGTTTGCGTTATAGCAAGTATTAATCGGAGAGAAAATGGTAAAATGGCTATGAGCAGATTGCAGAAATTGGAAAATACCTGAGAAGGCGGTAGTAACATCGTTGCGAGGCTTTCGACAGTGGTATTAGCTCCTTGTTGAGCTCAACCTGTCAAAGCTAAGGAATGAAGGTTGTGAGGTCATTTTTAGGTATATGTTGATTAATAAGATAAGATATTTTCTCAAAGGGGGTGAGGCTATCACCTGAGTTGAAGCTTCGATTGAGGTACCCTGAGCTGGAGAAGTCTTCGATAGGGATGATTTCATGATGTTGGTGAGACTAGACAACGTCTGAGATGAAATACACCCCAAACTCGAAGTACTGTTGTTGTGGTTTCAGTTCAGTGGATGATACTTGACGGAATGAGCACGGCGACGATGGAGGATGCTGCTCCGATCCTCCGATTCACTTTGCTGCTCCGATACTCCCATTCACTTTCCTATTTCCCCTTTTCATTTTGTTTCTATGTTGGTTTCCTAAATGTTTAGTTGTTGGATCGGGTCCTCTTTGGGCTTGATTTTTGTCCATCAATAAAAAGGGCTTGCCCCATCTTTAATTTAAAAAAATAAAAAATAATAATTAATCTAGTAAAATTTTGTATAAATTATAGGAATCACATATTATAAGTACTAAATAACATCCTATCCCTTCTAGTTTTCTATTTACCAAAAATCCCTTAAAAATGATGTTTGCGGGATACATAGCGTTGTGCACGGGATATATTAGGTTTGATACATTCCACATTGCGGGATACATAGCGTTGTGCACGGGATACATTAGGTTTGATACATTCCACATAGCTGGATACATAGCGTTGTGCACGGGATACATGCGGGATACATAGGTAAATAAGAGATTTTTGAAATTTTTGAAATAAATAGGGATAAATGGATATTAAAGTAAGTAAAGGAGTGTAGTTAAGTAATTTGTCCTAAAATTTTAGGGTATATCAAAACTACATAATGGCATTAACGTGCATTTCATAATTAATACTACCCCACACGATCATATTGTCGTCTGTCGACATGACCAATTTGTAATAATTAAGAAATCATTACATGTTAATCTGCTATAATATCTGCTAAGATTTTTTTGACCGTATAAAAGATATTTTACACTGCTAACGTATATATTAGTTAAACTCTAATTATATAGTTGTGTAAAGTTCCCCAATTAAACTCAAATTACATGCCATGGTTACGGGTCAGTTTAGGTAGGTTATTGATTAAAATCAAAATTAAATCAATTTAATTGGTTTTAAAATTATTAAAATCAAATCAAACTAAATATAATCACGTTTGGTTATTATCGGTATCGTTTCGATTTGATTTGGTTATTAACCATACACAAAAATAAAAGAAAATATTCATTCAAAATATGAAAAAAGTGACAACAATTCATTCAAAATGAAAAATAGTTAGAATAACTAACATTACAAAACTTTCGATCACTGAATTTATTATGAATAAAACTTTAAAACTCACTATTTTGGCCTAGAGAGAAGGAACCCATAAATTAAGAATTGAGACACCCATATACATGAAACCAATAAGATAAATGTTCTCACCTTGGGCACTTATGCTTTCATAGGTAAATTATAAATAAATTTTGATGAAAACATATATAAGATTTTTAAAATTGTTTATTAAAATAATATATTATGTATTTATAATAATAAAATGTAATTTATCGGTTCGATTATTTCTTTCGAACAAAATCATAGCCAAATCATGGATCACCTGCCTACAATCCAAAAAAAGTACTTTCTGTATCGACTGATGATGTATCTCAACAACACTATTTTTTCTCAGACATTGATTACTCAAGTCTAGCTAAGCTTGTCAAAGATAAAAACGTTGACGAACTTGCTAACCTTGGAGGTGTACAAGGTGTTGCTGCTTCTCTCAAAAGTGATACAACTAATGCTGTAAGCGGAGATCCACAAGACGTTGCACGTAGACATGAAGCTTTTGGAAGCAACATGTATCGTAAGGCACCTGCTAAGAGTTTCTTCATTTTTGTTCGGCATGACCATTACACTTGATAAGCTTTCTAAAGTGAGCAAAATTATTCAAGTTGAAGCTGTTAGAAAGGGGAGGCGCCAACAGATATCGATATTTGAAATTGTTGTTGGAGATGTCATTTGCTTGAAGATTGGTGATCAAGTCCCTGCTGATGGGATTCTGGTAGAAGGTCATTCTTTACAAGTGGATGAATCTAGCATGACAGGTGAAAGTGATCATGTCGAGATTAACCTTGGACAAAATCCATTCTTGATTTTTGGCACTAAGGTTGTCGATGGCTATGGAATGATGCTTGTGACATCGGTTGACATGAATACGACCTGGGGTGAAATGATGAGCGAAATTAGCAGTGACTATAACAAGCACACCCCTCTCCAAGAACTACTCGAAAAGCTCACTTCATCAATTGATCAATGCTGTGGTGGGAAGTGTTGCTAATACTGTTATCATTGTTGTAGTGACAATTCCAGAAGGTCTGCCTTTAGCTGTTACACTTACTCTGGCTTACTTGATGAAGAGAATGATGGATGATAAGGCAATAGTGAGGAAGCTCTCTGCTTGTGAGACTATGGGCTCTGCAACCACCATCTGTATACACAAAACAGGCACTCTTACATTAAATAAGATGATCGTGACAAAGTTTTTCTTAGGCAAAGGCCACATAAAGAAGGAAAGTCATACGTCAATTTCAGCAGAAGTTCTTGAATTATTACATCAAGGGGTTGGATTAAACACTACAGGTAGTGTTTTCAAGTCCTCCAATCCCTGTTCTAGCTTCGAGTTCTCAGGAAGCCCTACTGAAAAAGCTATTCTTACGTGGGCTGTTACGGAACTGAACATGGATATGGATCAAATCAAAAGAAATTTCAACATTCTACATGTGGAAGCTTTCAATTCGGAGAAAAAGAAGAGCGGTGTCCTGATCAAGAACGTTACTGATGGCACAATTCATGCACATTGGAAAAGTGCTGCTGAAATGATTTCAAGAATGTGCTCCCACTACTATGATCTAGAAGGGAAAGTAAAACCTCTCGAGCATTCAGATAAGGAAGAATGTGATAGGATAATTGAAGGAATGGCTGCCAGCAGCCTCCGATGTATTTCATTCTCGCACAAGCAAGTGCCAAAAGCTGAGCAGGAGGATCATGAACATATGCATGGAAATGTTCCAAAGATCCATGTCGTCCTAACAGATGAAGTACGGATGGAAATTTCCATGAATATGCTCATGATCCTCCTGCTCAGCTTTTATCACCTGCTTGTGAGCAAATGCGATACATCGAAGGCTACTGGCAGCCATTCCTTCAATTATCCTATCACATTCTTCCTTGTCTGATTGGTCGAGAGGTTTTACGTTCCCTTCTAGATCATAGTAGTGGGAGCACATTCTTGAAATCATTTCAGCAGCACCTTTCCAATGTGCATGAATTGTGCCATCAGTAATGTTCTTGATCAGGACACCGCTCTTCTTTTTCTCCGAATTGAAAGCTTCCACCTGCAGAATGTTGAAATTTCTTTTGATTTGATCCATATCCATGTTTAGTTCCGTAGCAGCCCACGAAAGAATAGCTTTTTCAGTAGGGCTGCCTGAGAACTCAAAGCTGGAACATGAATCAGTGGACTTGAAAACACTGCCTGTAGTGTTTAATCCAACACCTTGATGTAATAATTCAAGAACTTTGGCTGAAATTGTTGTATGACTTTCCGCCTTCACGTGCTGTTTGCCTAAGAAAAACTTTGTGACAGTCATCTTATTTAATGTAAGAGTGCCTGTTTTGTCTATACAGATGGTGGTGGCAGATCCCATAGTCTCACATGCGGAGAGCTTCCTAACCATTGCCTGATCAGCCATCATTCTCTTCATGGAATAAGCCAGAGTAAGTGTAACAGCTAAAGGCAAGCCTTCAGGAATCGCGACAACAACAATGGTAACAGCAGCAGCAACAATTCCCACCACAGCATTGATTACATCATCAGATGATGTCTTGCTCCCGTTGAATTCTTTGTTCCCACTCTCATCTTTTGTGGTGCCAGTAAAGTATCTAACCAATAGGACAACAAGAACTAAGAAAGAAACTAGCAACCCAACTTTACCAATCGATGTAGTAAGCTTGTTGAGTCGCTCTTGGAGAGGGGTCTGCTCATTAGAATCACTGCTGATTTGGCTCATCATTTCACCCCAGGTCGTGTTCATTCCAACCGATGTCACAAGCATCATGCCATAACCATCGACAACCTTAGTGCCAGAAATCAAGAATGGATTTTGTGTAAGGTTAATCTCGACATGATTACTTTCACCTGTCATGCTAGATTCATCCACTTGTAAAGAATGACCTTCTACCAAAATCCCATCAGCAGGGACTTGATCTCCAATCTTCAAGCAAATGACATCTCCAACTACAATTTCAAATATCGATATCTGTTGGCGCCTCCCCTTTCTAACAGCTTCTACTGGAATATTCTTGCTCACTTTGGAAAGCTTATCAAACTGTCTGTTTTGTCTAAAATTACTAATAGACGAAACAGCGCTGACAAAAAACACAGCGACATAAATACTCCCTCCATCTTACCATCCTTCTTTCAGTCCATGCTCCTTAATTCCAAATCCAAGAGACAGGGCAGCACAGAGCAAAAGTATAATGATAGTAGGATCTTTGAATGATTCCCAAACAAAGATGAAGAAAATTTTACTAGGTGGCTTACGATACGTGTTGCTTCCAAAAGCCTCATGTCTACGTGCTACATCTTCTTGATCTCCGCTTACACCATCAGTTGTATCACTTTTGAGAGAAGCAGCAACACCTTGTACACCTCCAAGGTTAGCAAGTTCATCGATGCTTTTATCCTTGACAAGCTTAGCTAGACTTGACTGATCAATGCCTGAGAAAAAAGGGTGGTCTTGAACTACATCAATCGCGATTGTATCAGTCGATACACGTGGTACTTCAGATGGCAAATCAAGTGTAATGGTCATGCAGAGATAATGCAAGTTTGCTTGAAACATCATGGACCAGTCTTTCTTTGACTATGTAAAGGTGGAAAATGCGAGGTTAATGAAATTAATGTTTGTAGTATGTATGACGAAACTTAACTAGTTCAGGATTGAGACATAGTTAATTGATAGACGAGAGAAAAGATTCAATTGTGTTTGGAATTGGATGAACAAATTTGTTTCATGGAAGTTCCTTTTATAGTGAAGCTAAAGTATGCCCCGCGTAAGAAGTTATAACGGGAATTTATTGACTTTAATTATGTTTCCATTGGATGAAAATATTTTTTCATGTATAGTTAGATCTATTTTTCGCGAAAACAAGTTTCTTAAAAATCAAGAAAACTTACATAAATCTCATAGTGTTAAGAGTTAATTACATTATTTCCCTACTCTTTTTCAAATTACAAAAATTTCTTAAAATTTATGGATTTCGGATACATCACTAGACTTCCGGATATATCAGCAAACATCCGGACACATAGTGAGAGATGTATCTGAGAGGGGAGGGATGTATCAGATAGGGGATAGGACATTCCAATGGACTTCCGGATACATCAATAGACATCCGGTTACATAAGTGAGGGATGTATCCGAAAGGGAAGGGATGTATCCAAGAGGGGGATAGGGATGTATCAGCAGGAGAGTGATGTATCCGAGAGGGAATTTTTGAAATATTTTTAAATAGTAGGAAATTTTAGAGATTATAATAAAATAAAATGTGTATTTAAGTAATTTTTCCTTTTTTTCAATAGAAGCGAAACTAGCCATACCACCCGGCCCATACACCTACGTACCCTCCCATTCCTATTCAATAATATTTATCTAGATTATATAAAATGTTTATGAGATAATAATATTATTTGATGCTTCTTTACTGAACAATGAAAAATAAATACAACTTTCATTTATTTTCCAGGAAAATATTATCCAAATATATATATATATATATATATATCCCGTGAAAAACATTTTCACATGTAAACAACCTAAAAGGTGCTTGAACTTGCTGTCTTCCTAAGTTTGCGTGGAGGTGCAATTGATCCTTTTTCCCATAACTTTGGGGATTAGTATTCAAGGCATTGATTCATCCACTTTCTAGTCCCTTCTATGTGGTTTCCTTAATATTATGTAGGATTTTTCATAGTCTTCACATTTTCAAAATAAAAGTTTTCGAGCGAAGGATTATCAGAAACAACCTCTTTATTTTCATAAAATAGGAATAAGATTACGTACACATCACTCCTTTTAGAATACCCTATATGTAAGATTACATTGGATATGTTATTATTTGAGTCGAGTGTCTGTTAGAAAAATTTCTACTTTCACAAGATAAAGGGGACAAGATTACGTACATGCATCACTCTTTTTAGAATATCGCATTTGCGAGATTACATTAGATATGTTATTATTTGAGTCGAGGATCTATTAGAAACAACCTTTTTACTTTCACAAGGTATGAACAAGATTACGTACACAACCTTTTTAGAATATCTCATTTACGAGATTACACTAGATATGCTATTATTTGAGTCGAGTGTCTGTTAGAAACAACCTTTATACTTTCACAAGGTTAGAACAAGATTACATACACATCACTCTTTTTACCATCCCCCGCCCCTCCACACCCCATCCAAAAAGAATAAACTTCATTAAAAAAATTAAATTTAAAAAAAAAAAAAAAATTACCACACCCCATCCCAAAATAAAATTAACAATTTTTTTTATTTTTTAATTAAAATTTTAATTTTTTAAAAAAAAATTACCACCCCACACCGTACCAGCCCTCTACACCCCCTACCCCCTACCAGCCCCCCCCCCCCTTCCACACCCCATCCCAAAAAAAATTAACAAAATTTCTTTTTAAAAAAAAATATATATATTTAAAAAAAATTACCAACCCACCCCTACCAGCCCCACCCCCCTATCCCAAATTAAATGTAAAAAAGTTATTTTTCTTATAGATTGTTTTTTTAAAAAAAAAGACTTTCTTACCTTTATCACTTTTTTTTTTGCTTTTACCTATTTTATCCATTTAACTACCCACTTTTAAATGGGTAATATGGGTATTACTCGTTTTTTACCCATTTTTAAATGAGTTGGATACCCAACCCATTTAAAATGGGTAATATGAACGAATATTCATATTATTTACCCATTTTGCCACCCCTAATCAGGATCATCTCTTTTTTTTTTAAATTTGAAATTAAGGAGACTAAAACGTTTAATAATCTTTTCAATTGACCAATTTATCATGGATATATAGTAAATATTCTTTTTTTTAAAAAAAATAAAAAAACTGCTGAGTTGATGATAAAGAAATGACAAATTAGCATCTATATATGGTCAACTATATATTTAACTTGACTTAAGATTATATTTCATTCTTATGCAGCTTCTTTTAAGGTCGACAATTTGTCTCCGCGTATTTTATTAATATAAATGTTACGGCTAATTTAATCCATTTATTTTCTATCACAAACCTAGGACAGTTAGGGTTAGGCAGAAAATTAAATGACAAACAATATAATATTGAAAAATTGAATTTATTTCAAGTTTACAACGACAGTATTTTATTTTTTTTGCTTTCTTGTTAAGTACGAAATTTCTTTTTATTTTTTATAATAAAGTTGATGTATGAATTAATTTGCCTGCACTTTAAGTATCCATTTCATTAACGATTAGATCATACATGTGTTACCCAATTTCACTATGGAACTTTAATATATAGTGGCATTATAGTTACGTTGTTTTATGTTTTATTTTTGTTTCGCCGTTCAAGTTAGTTTGCTTGAATATTAATCCGTAATGGGTGATTAAACTAATAAAATTAATTTTAGTATTTAAAAGGTAAAGTGAAAATACATATTAGACTTGATCAGAGTTAAGTACAAAATGTACATACGACCAGAGGCGGACCCACATGTATAGGTGGGTGCACGTGCATCCATTAATTTGGGGAAAAATAATGTATATATATATATATATATATATATCTCAAGAAACAAATAGAAACAGAGAATATAATAAAGAGTGCACCCATAAAAAACACAAAATTGCTTTGGTCTGCTGGTAGAGGCAACGTAGGTTCGATCCCGGTCAACATCCTATTTTTTACTCTTTTTATTACAAACTTAAGTGTTTATTTATAACATCAAAATTGCTAAATAGTGGGATTTGGACTCATGGCCATCCAATAGCTATTAATGACTAATCAAATATGACATTATCCATTAATCGTCATTAAAAAAATTGAAAAATTCGCTAATGCTTAAATTAAGATATTATTAATGCACCCAGACTCTTTAAATCCTGAATTCGCCTCTGCATTCAAAAGACACATGCCTAGCATGCATTAGTTTGGCGGTAAGATATTGAGTTTCAAATGATAATATTATTACGTAAGATATTGAATTTTAAATGATAATATTATTATGATGTCAGATAGCCTACCTCATAATTGATACTCTTTCCATCTCAATCTATGTGATATTGTTTGATTTGACACAAAATTTAAGAAAATAGAAATTGACTTTTGAAATTTGTGGTTTAAAATAAGTCATAAATGTTTGTGTGATTATAATAGACATTTTAAAGTTAAATTCTTAGTACTAAATATACAAATGTGTCATTTTATTTTGGACTAACTAAAAAGAAAAGTGTGCGACAAAGAGAGTACTCCTTCCGTTCCCTTTTAGTTGTCATGTTGCGCTTTTCGAAAGTCAATTTGACTAATTTTTAAAGTTGAATTAGATTACATTAATTTGATATTTTAAACTAAAAATTTAAATATTAAAAAACTATACAAAAGTACTATAAATTGCATTTTTTTGCGTATCAATATGATAAAAAAAATACATCTTAAAATGTTAGTCAAAATTCTTATCATTTGACTCTAAAAAAGAAATTATGACAACTAAAAGAGGACGGAGGGAGTACTATTATATTTTTAAGTTTATATATTATTATTTTTTCAATATGCCTATATATGAAGTTTGTTGCAAAGGATCTCTCAAGTTCCTTGATAAGTCTTTCCAAGAAGTTTAATAAAAGGGAATTCTAAATGATATTATTAACTTTTCGTTGTCAATGTTAGGTATTTAAGAGTGCAGTTTGATTTTTGGGAAGAAAATGAAGACTTAATATATAGAGGAAAATGTGAAAGAAAATTTTGACGTGGATTTATCCCTTACGATACAATTTTCTAAGATAGTACACTTACACTATCAATATGAATTTTTTGTTGAAGTAAACAATCGAGTTTTATTATTAAAATGAGAAATGATAGACACAACAACACATTCTTTGGAAAATCCTCTATTAGTAGTCCTTTTAAAAAATAATAGTGTCATTTTTTATTTTTGTAATTCTTCAATGTTAACTTTGTATTTGACATGTTTCAAACCATACAATTAAAGAGTATTGATATATTCTACATATCTTTAGTTTAAAATCATAAAATTCAAAAATTATCTTTATTTTCTTAAACTCCGTATCAAATTAAAATCCGAAAAATAAATTAAAAACAAAAGGTGTACTTCCTATTATAATAAAACACACATAAAAAAAACTTTGGAAATCTTGTGGATAAGAAAAACGAGGCACACTCATCGTCAACCCCAGTCAATTTTTATTTTGAATTGGTCGTATGTCATATAGTAACATGATTTTAATATTTAATAAGACCCAACATCAAAGTCGAGTCCTTTTGCAAATGCAACATAGTTTCTCAGTAGACAATTACATGACCTATTGAATGCTGCTCTAACAAATAAAGAATTTATGATAATTATTTAGTAACAGTAATAATATGACAATTTTACATAAATCTGATAATATTAAGAGTTAATTACATCATATTCTTACTTTTTTCCAAATTACAAAAATTTCTGAAATTTGGTGGTATCCAAATATATCCCAAAACGTCCTGATAAATCACGTCCCAGTTTCAGATACATCCCAAAACGTCCTGATAAATCACGTCCCAGTTTCAGATACATCCCAACGTCCCGATACATTGCGTCTCGGTTTCGAATACATCACTCAACATCGTGTACGTCCCGATACATAGCGTAAAGTAAGTATCTGATCGATACATTGCATAAAGTGATGTATCCGAGAAGGCGAGAATAAGAGAGAGTTGAGTTTTTTGTAATTTTTTCAATTGATAGAAAATTTTAGAAAATATGATCAAATAAGTTGTGTATTTAGGTAATTTTTCCATACTAATATAATTACTATTATATTTTATTTAGCAATAATAATATAATAAGAATATTTGTTATCAAGATTCTATATAAATGTGCTAAAGGCGTTAGTGATTCTGAATCTAATGGCATTAACTCAATTACCGCTAAATATTTTTTTTAAAAAAATTATTATCTCTAAATATCTCTTTTAAGTTATTGCTAGTGGATGGAAAAAAAAAAGTTGTTGCTAGTGTGTTTGCTGGAAATTTTAACTATCAGTAGTTTCCCTCATAAGTTATATACAGCAAAAGAATATAGGAGTATAGTTAGTTTTCCTTTTGTAATCTGAAGTGTAATTTATGACAAGCAACTGCATTGGTTGACCTGGACAATGTTAAAAATGCAATTTTGCTATTTGTTCTACATCAAGAGAACTTCTAGATGTGTACTTTTGTAGGGGAACAAAACTTATAGGATCGTTGGTTGGTTGTTGGTTAAGAAGTAAATTATTTAACTTGACCTTAACAAATACTTCCTTTGTTCTTAATTACTTGTCCATTTTTCTTTTTATAGTTGTTCCTAATTACTTGTCCATTTTGACAAATCAAGAAAGGACAAATTCTTTTTACCTATTATACCCTCAATTAAATGACTAATTATTTTGAAAAATATAGAACTCTTCATCCACTTAATAATTAACAGGGGTAAAATGGTAAACTCACTATGTCATTAATTATTTTCTTAATAGGTGTGTCAATTCAAAAGTGGACAAGTAATTAGGGACAGAGGGAGTATCTATATCGTCTAAATTTGAGTGTGCATAAATAGACTCTAAAATTTGTGTAAATTAAATAAATAGACACATACATCCTACGTGATGTGTTCTATGTTGTGCTCTTTACTTGGGACATTAATTGTTGGATCTGCATGAGTTATTGGGCATTGACCCAGAGGCGAAGTTGTTAACGTCTGTAACTTGGGTTGAATATTGGCATATGTATGTATATATTGCGATTTCAACTATTAAGCTTCAAATAAGCTCAAATTTAAAACGTGAGTTTCATATATCATAAAAAATAAATTTCAATCATCAATTTGATAAAACATCAACAAATCTAACATCCTTTAAAAAATTTCATGTATAAATGCATGAGTTATAACTGTTGGGTTTTAAATGTGTGAACAGGAAATGAAGGGTTGTGACTCTCCCGAAGGGTTGTGACTATGCCGAAGGGTTGTGACCTTTATGAAAGGTTGTGTCCTTTCTAAAGGGTTGTGACCATTTGAAAGGTTGTGTCTTTTCCAAAGTGTTGTGACCTTTCTGAAAGGTTGTCTTCTTTCCAAAGGGTTGTGACCTTTACCCTTTGTTGGCTATAAATAGAGAGGTTTTCTCTCATTTTTCTGCATCGAATTCTTCCCTTCTTTTGCATACATTTCTTAATTATTCTATTTTCAGTTATTAAGTTTGTCTATTTTCTTGATTTTAATTATTCAAAATCTTAATATTCAAGTGTTTCTTTTTCTGTGTTTTGCAATCACAATTAGAGTTTTATAGAGAAACTAAATAGGCTAAAAATATTGGAGCTTGAGTTCAACAATGTATAGATTCAAATTTAAAGTTTATCAATTCGATTTATTCAAATTTAAAGTCTATCAATTCGATTTATTTAAAATTTAAAGTTTATCGATTATTGATTTATAGACATGCTAAACAATTTTGGAATCATTAAGATATTGCTTATCGATTATTGGTGATTGACCGTTACTAATTTGGTTATCAGTTTAATAGTTACCATTTGACACAAAATAATAATAATTGAAAATCATTTAGAGTTGACAGATTGCATTTTGTTCAAAAGTAAACACGGACACATTGTAGGATAATCAAAAGTTTTTGAGACAACCAAAAGTAAAAGTATGCAACTAAACTCAATATAAATGTAATTATAGGTTAACGGTTAAGGAAAAACATCAAAATATTAAAAACCCATAGTCCATAGTAAAACTAATCGAAACGGCTAAATCAATTACCCATTACCGATAAATCAATTACCCATTACCGATAAATCAATAAATTTTGGTTAACGTTTCAATATATTGAGATAGTACAAACAATGTCTCTGTAATATATGATAGTGGCGCGCGAAAAGTAATTGGAAGGGAAGGCTCTTATTATGTTATCAGTGTCACATGATTTCATTGATCTTTCAACTTCTCAATCCCAAATTGATGTGACTGAGTAGCTCAAATTAGGAAGAGAGATACAAAATCACCGGTGCCGGAAAGTACTTCTGACTGAAAATTCTCAGGGCATTGCATCGGCCATTGGCGATCAGTCTATATTGCATAAAATGAAAGAGGTAACAAACTGACATCTCTTCTCATCCCTTGGGATCCATATTCCACACATTTTCCATTTCTGAATCCTGCTGTAATCAATCTGAAAACAAGTTTTATTGCATTCTGAATTCTATGATGATTGACAAGGAGCGAATTAGGAAAATGTACTTTTTCTACGTAGAAATAGCAGAAGAAAAGTATAATTGAGGAAACCTTCTGCTAGTTCAATATCGTTAAGGAAGATTTTGGATAAGAGAATGCCTAATGCCATCTCTATATTTACTTGTCTGGATGCTTCGAGAAACTATTGTAGATGTAACAATCTGGATAACTTCATCTTCTAGCTATGAATCTAGAACTTTTAGATCTAGCTTTAAGAGTAGATCATTCAAGAAGCTTTCATAAAAAATCTAAGTTTTTTTTGTAGGTCCAAAAAATTGACTTTATTAATTCAGTTTATTTGTTGAATATCTTTAGTCTTTACTACTGAGAGGTGGAGAAATTTGGATATGCAAAGGGAGAAACTCTGGACTTGACACCTTTAGATATGTTCAACTCTTAAGGTGATTCCATTGCACTTTTAAATTTTAAAAAATATGAGTTCAGAATTTGATATTTTAGCAATTTTTAACTGTAAATCTATGCTTTGTAACTGTAGTAGAAGAATTCTGTACAACTCTTTATTTAGAAACATACCATAGAGAAATACAAGTAGTGAGTAATAAATGAATGCAACATAAATCAACCATTTCACAACAAACTAGCTTATGGACCAACAAAAATGAACATCTAAATTTACTTTATTTTAACCTGAGATAACTGAAGATTGGTCTCTCTGGGACAGTTATGCACTTGACAAGCCAACCAATTGGCCAAGATGCAGCTGCAAATCCAATGCAGATTCCCCATTGCCCCCAATTCAGCCGCTCTGTATTTGCAAACTTCTTTAGGAACTCCACCATCACCACTTGGAGAACCAATGTTATTCCGATGATTGCCATGAACAACTTGTTCTTGTGTATTCCCTTAAAGACATTCTTCTTCTCCTGGTTTCGCGCGTTGAATTCATTGAACACTTGGCAAAGAACAAATGTGTTGAAGATCAACGTATCATTTACCCTCTTGCTGACACCAAAGATTGATTCTCCTCTGAATTGTAAGGTCAATAAAACAGCAATCTGATATAAGGCCTGAGCCATTAGATTCCTCCACATAATGTTGGTGATAAGCGGTGCAGTCCTACCGACTGGTTTCTTCTTCATGAGTTCCTCGGTTGGCTTCTCTGTCGCAAGTGCTAATGCCCCTAATGTGTCCATGATCAAATTTACCCACAGCAACTGTACTGCTGTGAGTGGTACCTCACCAGATGAAACAGCTGCTACAAAATTGATCACGAGCGCAGCCACGTTTACTGTGAGCTGAAATTGGATGAATTTCTGGATGTTGTTATAGACACACCTTCCCCATTTCAAAACTGTGGCAACTGAAGCAAAATTATCATCCAAGATGACAATATCAGAACTCTCTTTAGCTACTTCAGTGCCCTGAATTCCCATAGAAAGTCCTATATCTGCTTCCTTTAAAGCTGGTGCATCATTCGTTCCATCACCTGTGACTGCGACCACATGACCTTTCTTTCTCAAGCATTGCACCATTAGAAGTTTGTCAAAAGGGGATGATCTTGCCATCACACGTATCTTCTCCACTCTCTCCATCCGTACTTCATCTGTTAGGTTGCGAAAATCTTCACCTTCTATGACTGCTCCTTCATCTACTTCCTGATTAGGATGGAGAATCCCACATTCTGTTGCTATGGCTTTTGCAGTGAACACATTGTCACCAGTGATCATCTTGATGTTCACACCAGCATTTTGGCAAGCTTCCACTGCTTTCTTCACGCCTGGACGACATGGATCTTTTAGGCCAACAAAGCCCAAAAGAATGAAAGAGTTGTCTGGAACATTTCCGTGCATATGTTCATTATCCTTCTGCTCAGCTTTTGGCACTTGCTTGTGTGCGAATGCAATACATCTCAGGCTGCTGGCAGCCATTCCTTCAATTATCCTGTCACATTCTTCCTTATCTGATTGGTCGAGAGGTTTTACGTTCCCTTCTAGATCATAGTAGTGGGAGCACATTCTTGAAATCATTTCAGCAGCACCTTTCCAATGTGCATGAATTGTGCCATCAGTAATGTTCTTGATCAGGACACCGCTCTTCTTTTTCTCCGAATTGAAAGCTTCCACATGTAGAATGTTGAAATTTCTTTTGATTTGATCCATATCCATGTTCAGTTCCATAACAGTCCATGAAAGAATAGCTTTTTCAGTAGGGCTGCCTGAGAACTCAAAGCTGGAAGATGGATCGTAGGACTTGAAAACACTACCTGTAGTGTTTAATCCAACCCCTTGATGGAATAGTTCAAGAACTTTTGCTGAAATTGATGTATGACTTTCTGCCTTCACGTGCTGTTTGCCTAAGAAAAACTTTGTCACGGTCATCTTATTTAATGTAAGAGTACCTGTTTTGTCTGTACAGATGGTGGTGGTAGATCCCATAGTCTCGCATGCGGAGAGCTTCCTAACCTTTGCCTGATCAGCCATCATTCTCTTCATGGAATAAGCCAGAGTAAGTGTAACAGCTAAAGGCAAGCCTTCAGGAATCGCGACAACAACAATGGTAACAGCAGCAGCAACAATTCCCACCACAGCATTGATCACATCATCAGATGATGTCTTGCTCCCGTTGAATTCTTTGTTCCCATTCTCATCTTTTGTGGTCCCAGTAAAGTATCTAACCAATAGGACAACGAGAACTAAGAAAGCAACTAGCAACCCAACTTTACCAATCGATGTAGTAAGCTTGTTGAGTCGTTCTTGGAGAGGGGTTTGCTCATTTGAATCACTGCTGATTTGGCTCATCATTTCACCCCAGGTCGTGTTCATTCCAACCGATGTCACAAGCATCATGCCATAGCCATCGACAACCTTCGTGCCAGAAATCAAGAATGGATTTTGGCTGATATTAATCGCGACATGATCACTTTCACCTGTCATGCTAGATTCATCCACTTGTAAAGAATGGCCTTCTACCAAAATCCCATCAGCAGGGACTTGATCTCCAATCTTCAAGCAAATGACATCTCCAACAACAATTTCAAATATCGATATCTGTTGGCGCCTTCCCTTTCTAACAGCTTCTACTGGAATATTTTTGCTCACTTTGGATAGCTTATCAAACTGTCTGTTTTGTCTAAAATTACTAATAGACGAAACAGCAATGACAAGAAACACCGCGACATAAATACTCCCTCCATCATACCATCCTTCTTTCAGTCCATGCTCCTTAATTCCAAACCCAAGAGACAGAGCAGCACAGAGCAAAAGTATAATGATAGTAGGATCTTTGAATGATTCCCAAACAAAGATGAAGAAACTTTTACTAGGTGGCTTACGATACGTGTTGCTTCCAAAAGCCTCATGTCTACGTGCTACATCTTCTTGATCTCCGCTTACACCATCAGTTGTATCACTTTTGAGAGAAGCAGCAACACCTTGTACACCTCCAAGGTTAGCAAGTTCATCGATGCTTTTATCCTTGACAAGCTTAGCTAGACTTGACTGATCAATGCCTGAGAAAAAAGGGTGGTCTTGAACTACATCAATCGCGATTGTATCAGTCGATACACGAAGTACTTTTCTTGGATTGTAGGCAGCTCCATGTAGTGCTTTAGTGCTGGTCTTAATTTTAAAAGCTCTGGAACAATAGATTGTTGCAAAAGCTAAGTGCCATCTTTTTTTGCTGGAGAAATCAACTTCAGATGGCAAATCAAGTGTAATGTTCATGCAGAGATAATGCAAGTTTGCTTGAAACATCATGGACCAGTCTTTCTTTGACTATGTAAAGGTGGAAAATGCGAGGTTAATGAAATTAATGTTTGTAGTATGTATGGCAATCGACGAAACTTAACTAGTTCAGGATTGAGACGTAGTTAATTGATATACGAGATAAAAGATTCAATTGTGTTTGGAATTGGATGAACAAATTTGTTTCATGGAAGTTCCTTTTATAGTGAAGCTAAAGTATGCCCAGCGTAAGAATTAATAGCGGGAATTTATTGACTTTTATTATGTTTCCATTGGAGGTGATTTATTTTTTTGTAATGTCCAAGCATTTCCAGCTTCCATCCACACTATTTGGATTAATTTATTTTTGGGTAAAGTCACAAATAGTTAACTTTTTAGTCTTTGTAAATGGTTATTGTTCTGAAGTTTCAAATTTCACATGTAAAGTTCCAGGATATAGTTATGAAGTTTCACTTGTCGAATTTGAAAAAATGATTATTTTTCTTAGAGATGAGGTCGAAAAAATGGCTAGTGAACACTCTTTCGTTGTTTTTTGCGGGGAACATGATCATCTTAAGGGTGTACAATAATAAAAACATATCAATGAAAAAGTGTTTATCGTTTTTCACTTTGAAAACAAAAGAATACTCCTTCTTTCAAAGATGCAAAACTTTGAAATAAAAAGTGGGACAACAATTTTAAAACATAGGGCATAGTAAGCTTTGTATTCAAATAAATCGAGCTTTTTTCTCATATATTGAACTATCAAACATACCTAATCTTTCCGACAAATTTGAAATCCAAACCTGGTCGGTCTAGTTTAATAGCAGAGTTATAAATGTTACTAAAGAACTCATCATTTACTACATAAATAAAAGGAAAAAAAGTCTGATATATTTCTTAACTTTGTCATTTAAAATTAATATATCGTTCATTATCAAAGTGACTCAAAATTTGAATGAACACTCATCTGCCCCTCTATGCTCGCCTTGTCTTAATTGTGTCGTGTTAAACATTTTTCCCTGCTAAACTTGCAAGAATTATCATTTCATGTTTTCTACTAAATTATCTCTATCCATCTATATAGAAATTCACTACTCAATAAATTAATCCAGAGGATCGAATACATCTAAATTAACTACTTTCAATATGGAGCATAAATTTATATTAAGAAATTTAGTAAACTTGTAATAAATAATAAATATTACTCCATACATAACTTTAAAAGTATATGCTGAAAATTCTTAAAGATCGCCTATAAAACTTATATCATGAATTCGTCTCTACACAAATTCTAAGAAATGTGAAAATGAGTTGTATTATAGAATCTATAAAAGAGGTGAAAAGGCAAAACAAATCTAAAAGGAAGAACAATATTTTCAGATTTGAATTTTTTATTTTAATTCGAATCAATAATTACTACTGGGAGTTTCCAGGAATTTCAGTGCAGTAAAACAACATTATCTGAATATGTTCTTTGCGCTTTAACAGCTTTGCTTTTACAATTTCAACATAAATACGTACACATACTATATATTATCTATTGATCTAAGTATGTACCTCGAATTTTCTACTGTTTGAACATATTATTTATGTCTGGTACAGAGAAAAATATTTTAAATTTTTTTTTTTATGTTTAGTTGATCAATTTTTTACGAAAATATTTTTTTTTTAAATGTGAAAAGTTATTTTTTCAATGGAAGTGAAAATAAATTTTCTAAATAGCATTCTACTAATTGTCTCCTCCCCACCCTTCAACACACCGGCTTGCGGTCAGAGGCGGAGCCAAAGTTAAAAATTTGAGGGTGCTAAATCAATTTGTTTGGGGTTCACAAGTTAATATACATAATTTTTTATAATTTTCTAATACAAATATAAAGTCTACGAAAAGCTAGTGGATTCGTCCGAACCCATGAACCCCACCTAGCTCCGCCTCTGCTTGCGGCCACCATCACCCTCCCAGAGCCGCACCACCTCATACACCTACGTACCCTTCAATTCTTATTCTATAATATTTATCTAGATTATATAAAATATTTATGAGATAATATTATTTGATGCTTCTTTACTGAACACTGAAAATAAATAAATGTCTCATTTATTTTCCAGAAAAAATATTATCCAAAAAAAAGATATTTCGTGAAAAACATTTTCACATGTAAACAACCTAAAAAGGTGCTTGAATTTGCTGTCTTCTTAAGTTTGCGTGGAGGTGTAATTGATGTTCCCTTTTCCCCATAACTTTGGGGATTAGTATTCTTTTGCATTGATTCATCCACTTTCTAGTCCCTTCTATGTGGTTTCCTAATATGATGTAGGATTTTTCATATAGTCTTCACATTTTTAAAATAATAGTTGTGGGTCAAGCGAAGGATCTATCGTAAATAACTTCTTCATCTTCATAAAGTTGAAACAAGATTATGTACATATCATTTTTGTTAGAATATTATCTCATATGCAAGATTGCATTCGATATGTTATTATATTAAATTGAGGATCTATTAGAAATAATTTTTTTATTTTCATATAAGGTATGAGCAAAAATTACATAGATATCTCATTTGTGAGATTACGTTGAATATGTTATTACTTGAGTCGAGGATTTTAGAATATCTCATTTATAAGACTACACTGAATATAACATTATTATGATAGTCTTAAGTTTTTGTTAGAGTCTAAGGCAAGTAAAACGTACGCTTAATAATCTTTTCAATTAACCAATTTATCATGGACATATAGTAAATTAATATTCTTTTTAAAAAAAAACTGCTACTGCTGTGTTTTTTTGATGATAAAGAAATGACAAATTAATTAGCAGCTATATGGTCAACTATATATTTAATAACTTAAGTCTTAAGATTATTTCATTCTTATGCAGCTACTTCTAATGTCGACAATTTTTATCCGTGTATTTTATTAATAAATGCTACAGCCAATTTATTCCATTTATTTTCTATCATAAACCTAGGACAGTTAGGGTTGGGCAGAAAATTAAATGGCAAACAATATAATATTGAAAATTTTGAATTTGTTCCAAGTTTTCAACGACAGTGTTTTATTATTTTTGCTTTCTTGTTAAGTACGAAATTTCTTTTTATTTTTTATAATAAAATTGATGTATTAACTTGCGTGCACCTTATCCATTTCATTAACGATTAGGTCATACATGTGTTACCCAATTTCACTATGGAGCTTTAATATATAGTGGCATTATAGTTACGTTGTTCTATGTTTTATTTTTGTTTCGCCGTTCAAGTTAGTTTACTTAAATATTTATCCGTAATGGGTGATTACTGATTAAACCAATAAAATTAATTTTAGTATTTAAAAGGTAATGTGAAAATACATATTAGAGTCGATCATAGTTAAGTACCAAATGTACATACCAAAGACGCATGCCTAGCATGCATTAGTTTGGTGTGAATGCTTGGTGCAGGTAAATTTTTATTGCGGCTTAAACTCTAAATTAAGATGTAATAATAAAGAGCTTACATATGTTTTCTACATTATCAGTATAAATATTCTTTTATATTATTTTGTTATTTTTATTTATTGTAATACATAATTTATTCTATTTTTAAGATTATAAATTTCATTTTTAAAGAAAACTAATTGCGTGAAAATATTTTTTGATCAAATTATAAAATTAAGTCTACAGTTTTGAATATGTCATTCTCATGTATATCTACTTATATAAAGAAGATATTAAATGATGGACAAAGTCCTCTAACAATTTGAATAATTCTAATTTCTAACCTCCCTTACGTAAGATAATAAGTTTCAAATGATGATATTATTATTATGTCAGATTTCTTACCTCATAATTGAAATTTTCTCTGTCTCAATTTATGTGATATTATTTGATTCGACACGAAATTTAAGAAAGAAAAGTTGACTTTTGAAACTTATGGTTTAAAACAAGTCATAAATATTTGTGTGACTATATATAGACATTTTAAAGTTAAATTATTACTAAATATAAAAACATAGAGTATACTTTTCGGAACAGACTAAAAATAAAAGTGCATTTCACTTTTTCAATAAGCCTATTTATGAAGTTTGTTGCAAAGGGTCTCTCAAGTTCCTTGATAAGTCTTTCCAAGAAGCTTAATAAAAGGGAATTCTACTTGATATGATATTTGACGAGAGGGAATTGCTCACACCCCTCACTTCCAACTCGAAAGTTGCGAGTTCCAGTCACCAAGGGAGCAAAAAGGGGTGGGAGCTCCTATGGAAGGTAAAAAAAAAAAGATATTCTTTATTTTTCCTTTGTCAATGTTAGGTATTTAAGAGTGCATTTTGATTTTTGGGAAGAAAATGAAGACCTAATATAGAGGAAAATGTGAAAGAAAATTTTCATAAGGATTAATATCTTACCATACAATTTTCTAAGATAGTACACTTTCTCTATCAATATGAAATATTTTGTTCAAGTAAACAATCAACTTTTATTATTAAAATGAGAAATGATAGACACAACAACACATTCTTTGGAAAGTCTTCAAGTAGTAGTCCGTTTAAAAAAGAATAGTGTCGTTTTTCATTTTTTGCAATTCTTCAATTTTAACTTTGTATTTGACATGTTTCAGACCATACGATTAAAAAGTATTGATACATTCTACATATCTTTAGTTGAAACCATAAAATTCAAATATTATTTTTATTTTTTAAAACTCCGTATCAAATCAAAACCTGATAATAAATTAAAACAAAACGTGTACCTTCCTATTATAATAAAACACACATAAAGAACTTTGGAAGTCTTGTGGATAAGAAAAAAGAGGCCCACTCATCGTCAACCCCAGTCAACTTTTATTTTGAATTGGTCGTATTTCATATAGTAACATGATTAATATTGAATAAGACCCAACATCAAAGTTGAGTCTTTTTTGCAAATGCAACATAGTTTCTGAGTGGACAATTACATGACCTATTGGATGTTACTATAACAAATAGAGAATTTTATGATAATTATGTAGTAATAACTAATAATAATAATAATATGAGAGTTTTACACAAAATTCATAATATTAAAAGCTAATTATATCATATTCTTACTCTTTTCCAAATCACAAAATTCCTTAAATTTGG